ATAGGCGAAATATTAATGCCACTGCTTTGTTTTTGTGCAAGTGTTTTCGTGTCTTCTGATTGTTTTTGTTGCTGCTGATCGCATGTTGTTTCTCTTGCAATGTGGCTAGTGGAATGTACATGCAATGATAGGATTAGTGGCTTCACTATAGCTTCTTGGTGGAGTATCTTGTAAAGAGATTTGTGTTTTGTGCATATGCTATCAGGAATTAATTACTTTCTGCAGTCTTTGGTTTATACTACTCTTCTTTTCTCCAGTGATCTTAAGCTGCATAATCCGAGCATGTGTTGCCATGGATTTAAGCTTCCTGTCATTATGGGACTCTCTCCTTTCCTGCTCTATCTTAGGTGGTTCTCCAAGCTATCAATGATAAGTGGTTGGTTTCTCATGATTAAGGGGAGTTTTTCAATTGATGAAGCTGATACTTTTCAGAGTTAATCTTCATGAAGAAGATATGCTTTATGTTATGTGTATCAAGATCATGTTTTATTCATTAACATAGTCTGGCAAGCCTTGAGTAGCTTTAAACCTGCCTTGCTTTCATCTACTGTCCTGATCCAGAACTTCTTATCATGGCATCACACTTCTTTATTCTCTCATGCCTCTTTTCCAAATGCCATGCATATAGCTTTTTGCTAAGCATGCCTCTTGGTACTAAATGTATACAATTCTAACACTGGACCTTTGTCATTTTCTAGTAAAGTATGTGATCTAGTTAGTGTTCTTCCAGTTGCACTCTAGAGTAGGACAAGCAAATCATCGAGGAATAAGAACTCAGGCAAGCTCAATGATATGATTCCAGGGTCATTGTTCTTTTTGAGATCCAAATCCCACACGGAATATTTAGAATTACATATACAGAAAGCTCCTTCCCTTTCTTCCGAGGAAAAAAAGGATGTCTAACTGGCTTGGGGATGTTCTTCAAGATAACTCCAACTTGGTCTTTCTTTCTCTTTCACTTGCAGCTGCACCACATTGCCAAGTATTCTTCAGCTCCTGCATCACTGCCATTTGGCGGCGCATGTCATCAGGGCAGGGGAACTGGATGGTCCAGAAGATCTCAGGGAATCTCTGCCTTCTTTTGATGATTGGACATGGTTAGAAAGGAAGAGCAATGTGGTCTTTCAGAGCATATGATCATGGAAAGCAGATTTTGACCAGACCACCAATTGAAATCCAGGAACATATTCTTCTCTTGCCACTTTCAATTGAATCTTTATTATAGTTGGATTTGTGGGTCATATGGCTGCTACTTTGAGCAAATAATACTTGCATTTCTAGTCTTGGTTCTGCAGGAACCAGTGAATTTGGCATACATATGTTCTCCTGAGTTCTAATTGGCATGTAGCTAATGACCCTTGATCTGATCACCATATAAAAAGCAAATCTTTGTTTTTTCATTGCTAGATCGTTTGTTCATGATGGTCCTATTGTTCCAGTAAATTTAAGTTGTCTTTGAATTTATTTTTCCTTCTCTAATCATCTTTGTTTGTTCGATACCGAAAAGCAACTGATTAAATCTGTTTGCTTGTCAATTGGAATATGTTTTTGAGCTAAGAGGGCTGAATCTAAAATCTTCATGTTTCCACTAATAATCCTTGATGAAGACATTGTGCTTAGTTATTGAGCAATGATGATGCAGTTATCTCAATTGAATCAAGCTATGACTGAGCCTTCCATCAGTCATCAATAATGTGAACTTTATGATTCATTTCTAGCCAATCTAAGGCACCCATGTTGCAGGTGGGCTTCTTTGGTTTTCATTATATCAGACACAGGATGCTATGGAAATGTGCCTTTGCATAGATCATATCTGAGTTCAACTTGTTCTAAAGAGCTTGAAACAATCAAGTGATTGGTTAGCAATAGGTATGTAGGATGTGGAAGGCATAAAGCTTGATAGGAAATGATGACTTGCATTCTTCTTATCCACCTGCAAGGCACCAATTCTCTGTGATTATTGATTTGCTAATCATAAGTTACAATCAACTTGCCATGGTTTGATTCTCCCCTGGAAAAGGTAGGTGCTTCTAATCATCATGCCATGTTCTGCATCAGATACTCATGTTCTTCCCTTAATGTTTAGAAAAATACAAGGTAGAAGATTGATGATGATCTTCCCATGTTCTCTAGTTGCTTTCCAATGTTTGTAATATAGCATTTGTTTCATATATTTTCACAAGTGGAATGAGTCAGATCCATCATAGTTTGGGAGACTGAAATGTCAAGGTTGTGACAGAATTGAAGAACTGAGTAAAAAAAAAACCTTCCAGTTACTCAAAGTTGTATGGACAGATCCAATCAAGACTTTAAAGGGCTATAATGTTTTGCATGGGCTTCGCTTGATGGGTTGGGTTTATGGGGGCGGCACACTATCAAAATGCATATAAAAGAAAAAGTTTGGATTGAGTTAATTTAGCTATGGTTGAGATCGATTTCTCAAAGAGTGATCATTCTTAGATTTTTTTTTTTTATACTCATGTCCACATGACTAATTTAAAACTATTTAAAACTTTAAATTATGATACATATATTAAAAATATTATTTCTCCATAAAATTATAAACTCTCCTAATCAATGAGAGATTTCAATAAATGCTCGAGCGTTCACCTAGGTGCTCAGGCAAGGTGAGACGAGGCCCGAGCGCATCGCTTCTTGTCCAGGTGCCTCACTTTAAAGAGGTGTCCCTTGGGTGCTTCAAGCGAGCATCCGAGTTAAACCAAGCGACCGAACCAGTGTTTTACGTTCGGTTCAGTCTCGAGTGCTTAAGTTGGTTCAATCAAACCAACTAAAACATCAATATCAGCATCTCTCTCGTGACTTCCTCAACCCTAACCTTGCTTGTGATTTTGTCGTTGACATTTCCTCTATGTTGTCACTGCCCCTCTTCGCTGACGTTGCCTCTCTTCGTTATCGCTTCTCTCTGTTGTCGTTGCCACAATCATCGCTTGCCATTGTTGTCGCTACTCGCCGCCGCTGTTGTCATTGCCACTATCGTTGCTCGCCATTCCCGCTCCTGCTATCGCTGCTCGCTGCTACCATTGCTACTTCTCTCAGTTAACAGCCTCAATCTTACTCTTATACTGCGCCCCGCTACTGTTACCGTTGCCACTGCCACTACTACTACTCGTCGCTGTTGTCATTATTCGTCACTATCGTCACTCCTACTCTTGCTACCGCTATTCGCCGCTACTGTTACTCTTACTCTTTATTTTCACATCGACTCGATAATATACTGTTAACAATATACTAACAACATATTGTTAATTATATACTAGTAACAATATTTTTATTTATTAGATTAATAATTTTTTTAAATTTTAATACTGCTAATTTTTATTTAAAATTATTTTTATTGTTTTAAATTTTAAGATTTTTTTATTAATGTGATATTATGATTCCATAAGATTTTTTAATTTAATATCATATTTTTATTTAAATAATTATATTTATTAATTATATATATATATTTTTTATTTTAACGTCTTACTTCGCTCGGGCGAACGATTAGTGCCTCGTACTGTTCTCGATGCTTTTTGACGTATAGCGCTTTTTTGGATTAATATTTTTTCTTTCGCATTTATACGTTTGACAATTTATCAAATTTATATCCACAATATTTGAAATTTTCACATGACAAACTATTAGCCAGCAAAATCACCTCCATTTCTCATTGGTCAACCTTACAAGTCCACAAACAAAAATTTATGGATCAAAATCATAGCATTCACTCTAATACTAATCTTTATTTGTATATAAGACTTTGTAACATTAATGATGGTGATGTCTCAACAGAAACACTGATGTGACTGGAGCTCCCACAGTCAAAGCAGCTAACGAATGCTCTGTGCCCAGTGTGGCTGCAGCTCATCATCCCTTACTCCATTGCCACTAGCTGTGCTGTTCATGTGCTGCAAGGGATTTCCTGTGTCCCCAATGCAACTCCTCCCTCAAAAGTGAGAGTGTGTGGGACCATCAGACAGCTATGTCTTGGTAATGAATCTACATTAATATAAAAGAAAATTAAAAGCTTGATGACAGCCAAATCCTCTTCAAGAAAAATACAGTGTGATTGTGATGGAAGATAATAAGTGTGTGGTTTTAATGGAATGCAATGGTGATGGAAATAAACTAAAAAGGCACACACATACATGCTAATGGTTTTGTTGGATATGCTACCCTCTGTCGGCAAACACTTTCCAATGGACCTCCAATTAATGCAGTCAAATGTGAAATCTCAAAAAGAATAAAAAGAAAAGGTCATTTTTTCTTTTCTTCTATTTATTCCTATGTCTTTATTTACTTAGCAACACAAACATTTAAGTTTCAAGAACGAATAGATCCATCGATTATTACAAAATATAATCAAATTAGTGTATATGAGTGCTAAAATATACATATATATATATATATATTCTTTTATTGGGAAAAATGCATACAATAGTAGACTTGCTAGTTGTTGGATTGCCCAAATCATTAGAGACCCAGTTTGGTGGGAGTGGCCATAGAAAAAGATGAGACAAATGCATGAAGTCTATGGGGTGATTGGAACAGGGGGGGACCAACCAATGATAGAGATGGCTTATCAAAACAATAATCAAATAGAAATGATCACCATCTATAAAGCAATCTTCCACCGACACATGATCGATGCATAATTGTCAACATAAATAAACGTGTTTGTCTCCTTGGAATAAAATGATTGCCATTTGTTACTTGTCCCCATCCTTTTGATGTGGGATGGCCAGTCTTGAGACATGGAAATAATATTTATGTTTTGCAAATCATAAATTCAATTGGTATTTCCAAGCATTAATCTGCACAATAAACAAAACGAAATCCACAAATTATTAGTGTATTTGGTGAAGTTGGGACATCAAATTGATTGTTAAAACTACACTGTTGTTTGGTAACATTCTGTGCCTTGGAAATGTGAAAAATGTGAGTCAAAAGGACTACTTGGGTGATGAATGAATGACTTGAGATGCTACATTTTTATTAGATCACATGGCTTGGAGCGTTGGATTTTGTGTCAGTGTTGCAAAGTTGATGATACCTCATCTTGAAGCTTCTTAACTCTCTCTCTCTCTCTCTCCTCTCGGAGACAAATAGGAAGGGGTGGGGGTTTACTTGTTCAGCTCTGCTGTCTCCATTGCTTCAGTGGTGCAGATCTAAGTCGTTTCCCCCCACGACCAGCAATGGGGACGGATCTGAGCTCCTCCACATTCGCCGTCACCGGATCCATGGGAAAGCTCGCGACTTTCGCCCTCTCCTTCCTGTTCGTTCTAGTCTTGTCCTCTCTGATTCCATCCACAGGTTAGTTCTTGGTCCTTCTGTCGTTAGAAAGTGCTCCACTCTTCTCAAGATTTGATCATTTGGAGTCGAAACTAAATATCCCGGCTCAATTTTCCCCGACGGGTTTCATCGGAGACTGAGCTATGTCAATCTTGATCGTAGAAATTTGGGAAAGGAGATGATTTTGGCCGTAGAAATTGCTCGATTCTTCTCAAGATTTGATCTTTTGGACTCAAAACCTAATTTTTTTCGACCCAGTGTTGGAATTTTTTCCGCGGAATGTAATCTCAGATGATATTGATGGTAAAGTTTTTGGGAAATGAGAGAATTTTTCCTTTTTGGACTGTGTCCATTTCTTTTATTCATAATTTAAATATCTTTCGTATGGAACTTGGAATCTTGGCATTTGCTTTCTATTTTTGGGGTATTGCTGGTTTTCCTTCACGAAAAAAATGATCCATGACTTGCTTACAAAGTTTGAGTTACGTGTGAAGTTGCTGTTGTAGCAGCAGCTAGTTCAGTATTTGAGGGTTTGAAAACCTGCAGAAAGAGAAACATGTCAAAATCTCTAATTTATGCAGACAATCAAAATGATCAAAGCTTTTTTTTTCATCACCGAAAAAAGCTTGAGAACAATGCTGTTTAAGAACCAATATGTTACTACATAGGGAAGAAATCCAATCAAGAGGTCCAATTTGGGGTGTTCATTGCACAATTTATTCAAGAATTACTTCTGGGAATCTTGGAGGAATGGTTTGAATGGGGGATTGGAATTTTTATTTTCCAGTAAAGCAAAGACTATTCCCTTGATGTTAAAGGATGTTCAGATTTGTATCAGGGATTTGTTTTCTTCGGTGTTCTGTTGAGTAGATCCAAGAAACTTCTTAGCTAAATTGTGTTTTTCTGTCGCGTTCTTTTCTGATTCATGCTTTAATTGTTTTGATTACAGAAGCTTATGATTCGTTGGACCCCAATGGAAATATAACAATCAAATGGGACATAATGCAGTGGACACCGGATGGTTATGTTGTAAGTACAAAAGAGAGACACTGCTGAAAGCATGTGATGCTCGCATGGGCAATCCTTTGCATTTTGCTTCGCCATGTATAAATTCTCATAGTAACTGATTGAAGAGACAACTCAAATTCTTGCCTTCTTGAGATCATCCTTGCATAAACTTCTGTCAGTTTATATAGCAAGTGAATTTTGCATCTACAATCAAAATATTGATATGAATAATTTTCAGGCGGTCGTTACGATATTCAATTTCCAGCAATATCGTCACATTCAAGCACCCGGATGGATTCTTGGGTGGACCTGGGCAAAGAAGGAGGTCATCTGGTCAATGGTAGGAGCCCAGACCACAGAGCAGGGTGATTGCTCAAGATTCAAGGGGAACACTCCACATTGCTGTAAGAAAGATCCGACAGTTGTTGATCTACTTCCTGGAACACCATATAACCAGCAAATCGCCAATTGTTGCAAAGGAGGGGTGATTAATTCATGGGTGCAAGATCCAGCCAATGCTGCAAGTTCATTCCAGGTCAGTGTTGGTGCAGCGGGGACCACCAACAAGACTGTCCGTGTGCCCAAGAACTTTACCCTGAGGGCACCAGGACCTGGATATACATGTGGAATAGCCAAGATTGTGAAGCCTACTAAATTTGTTACACAAGATGGAAGGAGAACAACTCAAGCTCTTAGTAAGTCATCAAAGAAAAATTGCGAAAAGCTAATAGTTTGATATTTTAAATAGGATAAGCTTCCAGGTAGTGGATTTGGCTCTTTAGTTCTTTTGCACAATGAAATACCAATCAAGTAATGTAGGATAGCCACTTCGCCTAGCTAGTCAATTCTGCTTTTTCGAAACTCAAGAAATGACAGTCCTTATAGTCGGCTAACATTTTCTTCGATACTTAATCGCAGTGACATGGAATGTTACATGTACATATTCCCAATTTCTCGCTCAGAAGACTCCTACTTGCTGTGTATCCCTTTCATCCTTCTACAATGACACAATTGTTAACTGTCCGACGTGCACATGTGGTTGTCAAAATAATGCAACTCAACCAGGAAGCTGCGTGGAGTGAGTTCAAATGCCAACCTCTTTAATTCTCACTATGAAAATTTTAGCTGATATATTGATGATGTTACTGTTTACTATGCCAGAGGAGATTCGCCTTATTTAGCCTCTGTCATCAACGGTCCTGGCAAAAACAGCTTCACACCATTGGTCCAGTGCACATCACATATGTGCCCAGTAAGGGTCCATTGGCATGTCAAACTAAACTACAAGGAGTACTGGCGTGTGAAGATTGCAATAACAAATTTCAACTACCGGATGAATTATACACAGTGGAACCTTGTTATCCAGCATCCGAACTTAGACAATCTCACTCAACTTTTTAGTTTCAATTACAAGTCATTGACGCCGTACGGAGGCATAAGTAAGTTTCTTTTCATTCATTTCTATTTTTCCTCAAGTTCATTCTTTGACATTTTCTCTCACTATGGAAATGTGGGCGGGGGAATACGGTAATCTGGTAATCTGTTTATCCTGTGAGATTTCATCACGTTGGTGGTAACTGATCTAATTTCACAAGAACTCATGGTGCTTTTGGTGTGTCTGTTGGTCTGAAATCTATATGGTTTAGCATACATGTTGCTTAATGCTTCTTTCTATAACTAAAATCTTACTGGCTTTGGTCTGACAGATGATACTGCAATGCTATGGGGTGTCAAGTACTATAATGACTTCCTCATGGAAGCCGGACCTTATGGAAATGTGCAGTCGGAACTTCTATTCCGGAAGGACCCATCAACTTTTACCTTCGAGAAGGGGTGGGCCTTTCCACGGCGCGTATACTTCAATGGTGACAACTGTGTCATGCCTCCCCCAGATTCGTATCCATGGTTACCGAATGCCGCCACACGGTTGACAAGCACCATGATGATGGCCCTTTTTGCTGCTTTGGCTTGGTTGCTAATTTATGTCTAGAAAGGACTCGAGGTTCGTTTGAAACTTTTAATTTCGATAGAAACACAAACTGCTCTGCTTCTGGAAATCGATTTGGATTCTGGATAAAAAGAGGATTCAGGTCTCTCCGCACCAAAGCCATCATAATGTAAATTTATACTATAAATCCACAACTTGGCAAGGTTTTGAGTTTAGATTCTTGTAATTTATGTGGTCTATGTCAGCATGTTATATGTAGAAGAGTGGAGACCCATGATAATTTATATTTGTTAAAGTACATGAGCAGGCAACTTTGTTTGATGTTGAAATGGACCTTCCATTTCTCTTGCTACTTTCTTCTGCTTGAATTCCATCTCATCATATATTTTAGTTCTGCTGTGATCCATGTTTGCAGTGTGATTCAGTGATAGTGTTTTCTGACAAAAGAAGAAAAAAGGGGACCTTGAATGAGTATCTTCTTCTTCCCAATTGGCTTTCCATGAGAACTCAACTGGAAATTGTGTCAACAGATACTATAGCAGTGCAATTTTATGGATTGAGGCAACAAATGTCTAATTTGAACTTCTCCAACTTTAGTCAATGAGTTCTTAACAATTAGCCTTAAATTTGACAGATTTATAGTCAGAAAACCCTATTGACTTAAAAATTTGTCCTCACTGCCTAAGGATTGGGTACTTTTGACTTCTGATGGGGTGACCACAGAAAAGAACATCTGTAAATATATACACCCATAACTATAACTAATATGAATTGAATTTTGGATGTACATAAATTAAAATTGTCCAAGAAAAAAAAATCATCCAAATCATCCAATTTCATGGAAAGATTAGTCCAATAATTTCACTAAGCCTAAATCATTAATCTGAAATGCTTAGATCCAAATTAATAGCAATTGAATCATCAAATCCTTATATTTGCGACTAGATTAGTACATAAGTCAAATTTCTCATTCTCAGTGGTACATTTATATCTATTTCCAATAAGATCTTGTGCAATTTTATCCAAAAAAAAAATCATGTAGCAGGAAAAAGAAAGGAAAGTAAAATTGTAGTTCTCTCAGATAAAAAATGCTCCAGAAAAGTAGGTCTCAGAGGAATTTTTGGCTTGGTATTGTGGAGGCCTACTGAAAACCTCTTGCAGAGGAAAAAGCACACACACTGTTCCACTTGGCTAAAGCTTGATTAGTCTGACAGTAACAAGCAGAACACATGATGATGAATTTAATGTTTTCATTCTCATGAGGTATTGATCAGTAGCAGAATGTTGAGCATTATTCTCTGTATGCATCAGATGAACCAAGGACACTGTATCAGTGTACACATACCCTGTTTATCCCTAATTCACAACCAATATTAAACTAAATGGATGATATCTTGATTTGTCTTCTCATGAGATATAATATATATGACATAAAATTTCTGGTAGCCTCTGATAGACTATGAACAACTTTTAGCATACCAAATAAGAATCATAAGATACAGAAATTTACAATGTAAGTTTGTACCTCTCATGGATGGATCATGAACTCATATCTGGTTGAGAGAACACCAAATCCAGGATAAACACCACCATTTCAGTGACAAGGTTCTCTCATCTCCATCCTCAGGATTCATCTGAGCAAGACCAGCTACACGCAGATCTGATCCAACACTCTGAACTGCCTGGTGTTCAGAGGAGGAAGAATGATCTTGTGGATCTTTATGTATGGGTAAAAAAGGACTCTCACCACTCTCATTCCTTCTCTTCCTAACTGTTCCTTCTATTTCAGTTCCTCTTTGTTGAAGCAATGCATTTGGTGAGGGGTAGTGAAGGAACAAAGGCAGGAAGTCTGAACATCACCCCTCAACCATCTCTGATGTGAAGGAAACTTCAAATGGGAATAGAAACAACAAAGATCAATTATATGTTTAGTAGGATAGTTTAACTACAACAAAGCTTTTTGTTAATCTCCAGATTTTAGAAACTACTACTAAATAGAACTTAGAAAAGCTAATCATCAAAATATGGTGTGTGAGTCTTGTGTTGTGTACACAAGAAACAAATGAATAGTATCTGGGTAATTAAAATGAACTGCTCTTGACTGATTTTTTCTTCCTTTTTTTTGGTGCTGACAATGCAAATGAATTAAAAATTCTCCACATGAAGACATATGATTCCTTTGCTCATGTTTTGATATGGTTAATAGTTGGCAGCAAGTAGACAGTCTCTATCTGAAGAGTACCCCCCAACTTACTCCACAGAATTGGCCAGGCTGTTCCCTACTGCTGATTAGGGATGGCAAAAATGTTAGGTAGACTGGGGACAAGCATCAGCTATACTTCCTTTTGAAGTGAATTTGCTGCTCAGTACATCAACAACAACCAAAAGGATTTATTGATATGGTATGCAACAACCAAAAGATTTGAATGATTGTGAGATACCTCTAATGCATCATCTTTCAAATCTAATGGAAGTATCAAATTTATTTACCGAAGATGAAGGATCAAAATCTACAACATTTGTCTAGCGGTAGTGTTGTAGACCTACTTAACCAAAGTTGAGAGTTCAATATCTCATCTAATAAATTTTGGTCTAATGATAATATAGCAAACTCGTTTGCAAAATGATTAATGACTCGAAACTTGATTACGTAAATTTAGTCGGTTATCATTCTTTCTTTGTCTATTGAAAATAAGACTTTGGGATTTGATATTTTTGTTGCTTAGTTCATAAATCTACAAGTACAAACTACTAAGCTCTCATTTGTCACAATTAATAGGGGGAGAAAGAACCTTTGAAAAATAATCCACATATATAAATCACCATTGACTTTCTTTTTATTCGTCAAACATACCATTAATGTTTTGGCTAATGACTCGCGACTTGTGGAGAAGACTATAACTTATCTAATTATACATGTAATACTCATAATCTATCAGGAAATATAATTTATTAAGAATTCTTGCGAAAACCTTTTGCTCTATCAAATTCAAAATATGTGCATTTTCCATTATCCGCATATGTTGTTAGCTTAAAGCTAATTGCACACTTAGGCATGTCATTTAGCAACAGTATACGACATTTCACAGTTCATGGTGGAACAAAAATTCCATAAATAATTAGTATATTTAATCACTTGCATTAGATAAGAGATAAACGGTGGTATCGATAAGTTCTCCAAACTCATACGATTATTTTGTCTAGTAAATATAATCATATCAATAAAATTAACATGATTTCTCATAGATGTCCCCATACCTACAAAGTTATGTATCATTTAAGATAATACATTTTAGTGGATAGAGTGCTTAGAGCTGCTTTTAGCTCCTTTGGGTTGTACGAACATGCAGTAGTTTTCCTTTGGGAAAGAAAACTACATGCCTCACGATGCTCGACACAACTAGATCAGGTGATCCGTAAGAGAGATCACATCACCCTGATAGATTTCGAAGATGTTTAGCCATCAGAAGCATGTTTCATGGATGGAACTCAACCCTATCGTCCATCCTCCAACTCAAGAACAGATCGAGCACCGATTCTTGCAATCCCCAAAATCGTCGTAAGGTTTGCTTCTGGCACCAAAATAGGTGTAGACGCCACTCATGAGAGTGTTGATTGCTGACGCCCCAATCAAACACAAGATAATGATTTCAAGCACCGAAAAAAATAAACAACAAAAATACACCATCGACGAGGAACTATGCATACACATCAAGAAAGAGTGTGTGGGTGGGGATTGGGATTGGGATTTCAAGCTGTCTCATCAAGCGGACGCTTTCTCAGGACATGAGAGAGAAGGAGAGGAGGAGGATAAATCCAGCGAAGATTGCAAGCTCTCCTCCCTCTCCTCTCCTCGAGCTGATCCTTTTCCGCTGAGCCTACAGATTCTGAGAGCCAAAAGGCTATGATGGAGACAAAGGCGTGGTTCTACGAAGCCGGCAAGTGTGTGGGCGCGTCGGAGTGCGCCCTTCTTTTACTCCTATGGGAAACCGAGGAATCGTCACATCACTTTGCGGCCCCTCAAGACACCGACAAGCGTATCCATCCCCTCCTCCAACTTCTCAGCTAAATCTTCTCGTGATAGGCGGAGTAAAGCTGTAGCTTAAGCCGCTTTAGTTCTTGTAATGGGATCCAATGCGGACCGCCGAAACACTTAATCCAAATCTTTCTCGTAAGCGCTTAAGCCAAAAGGGACGGACTCATAATTCGAATGATAATGATAACGAATTGTTCGTTTGGGTAATCGATAATAATCATAGACACGAGACATGATTTGATTTATATTCGACCGCACCCTTTGTTTTCCATGCAGCTTTTACCGAGATCTACAAGTCTTGAAGTCAAGATTTCTCTTGTCTTACAGTAGGAGGAGGAGGATGAAATGATCATGTCAAGATATCACGAGAAATTGGAAGGCAGACCAACTTTCTGCGCCATGGCTGGGTTGGCTTGGCCGTACGTTCCATGTGTGGGGTTCCCCCGGGCATTATTGCTGATACAGAAACCCTAGCCATGGCGCATGCCCATCACCACAGTCAGCACTTCTCTCCCTCCTCCTCGGCTTGCCTCTCCTCCTCCTCCTGCTCCTTTTTCTTCTTCCTGCAGTAATGGACTACTCGGTCTCTCCCACTGAGCACATCTGCTACGTGCGTTGCAGCTATTGCAACACAGTTCTTAAGGTAATTCCCTGGAGTAGAAGATTAAAGATGAACGTACCACAGCAATGCTGCTTTTGGGTGTACAAGAAAGATGTACATCAGAAAAGCATCCGCTTCAGCAAGCTTCTTGGTGTTTATTACCTCCGACACTACTTCACATCATATTTTTCTTTCTTCGTTTCCACCGATCTAAGGACCGGCACTCTTGGAGAAATTAAACTCGATCTCAATCTTTTAATCGTCTCATGTATGGATTTTAACTGATCATGTTGATATAGTGCTCTTGCTGTTCATGATGTGGTATCTACAGAGGAATCTTGATGCTTTCTAGGGTTTTTCCTGTCTCCTAGGAATATGAGTTTGTATGATCAAGATCTGCACATTTCTTCTGTCTTGGAGACAAAGATGGGGCCTTATGCATGCATGAGGAAGCTAAAGATGATTCCTAGAGATTTTTCACTCTCTCCTCTCTCTCTCTCTCTCTCTGTAGTTGCTACCGATGTAGTTCTAAGAGCAGTAGTTATAAGGTAGATATTATGCTCATTCTTCTGTGTCCTCGTCGCAGAATTAGAAGAACATAAATGTTCCCTCACCCAAATTCATCAGATCTTCGAATTAAGAACAGCATAAAGAAGATCCGCTCGACGGTGCTTCACCATTTAATCGATGAA